CCATTTATAGTGAGTTTTCCCATTAAAAATGGTGCTTTTCCATAGTTGTGTAAACGTTTACCAGAGGGTTTTTTTGCACTGAGCTTGATTCATAGTCAAAAACCACCACCTGCCAGCGAGGGCCTCATAGATTTACCATCGATTTCAGGGAGAATTGAGGCTGGTTTGAATGGTGGGTTTTACCGCTATTTAAGCTCCATGGAGCACACATATCCATGGGAAAAAATGTCATTAGTAGATGGTGTATCTTTAAGAAATGGTGATGTAAAGCATCATTTTCTATCATCAAAAATAAGTATATTATTATAATAATCTAGTCTATAATGGTCCAAGTAATCATCTATACATGGTCCATTTTCCATTGAACAAAACCTGACTGATCACTGGTAGCCCATGACCGGTTCCCTTGTCCTCGAGGAGAAACGACACGCTGACCAAGAGGTAGCAAGTGTTGCAGGGATGTTGAAGGAGGCGCGTGGGCGCGTGAAACTGGGTAGATCTCCAAGTCACTGGATAGTTCATTGTGTGCTGGACAATAATAAGAATAGATAGTGCTGATAGTCCATGAATGCCTATGGGTAGAATCATCACCAATTGGACAATAACTATTTATGTATGACTAGAGATCATGTTGTTTTTCCTATTGATAGCAGCATCTATAATTTATAATTATATTTCTTTTGTTACAATTAGGAACTTGCTATCACCAGCAAGAGATTCTCGTGTTTTCTGGTCTATCGAAGATTGACCATGAAAAGATGAGGAAGCATCGAAGTTGGGAGTAACCCATTTTCAAAGCCAACTCTTCAGTGGTGAATGGAACTGTTTTGTCAGGAAGTATGTTTGTATATGTTTGTATCATGTTGTATCCATATCCATATTCCCCCAAGAAAATAGGATGCAAGGAGCCACGAATGGAGTTAACCAGGAGTTAAGCACCCACATGATAGTTTTTTACGGACCATGGAAGTCAAAAAACAGGTTGGACATGATGAAATGTTTGGGAGATGATTGTACTAATTGGAAATGACCATGTTCGAATTTCACGTTTGATTTCGGGGGGCATCGTTTAGTGCGATGTTTCAGAGGGCGGACTGGTAATGACAGAAATTGCTAGCCAAGCTAGTTGCTGTTTCTGTCATATGTGTATCCTTTCTGGTGTGATTGGCTATGTTGTTAGACGATGTTGGGCGGTTGTCTAGTCGATGTCCCTCTTGCTTGTTCCAGTATGTCCCCCCGCTTACCATATAAGGTGTCTAGTTTTGTTTTTTTGAAGATCCATCAATTTACTTCGACATTGAGCCTGCTAAGACTATAACCCTATAGTAACCCTAATTTTACAATGGTTCTTATATTCAGTGTACTCACAAGTATATTGGGATATTGTTTAGTGGAATTACAGCGAGGGGTTTATATAGCTTATATATAACTATTACCATCTATTACCAAGTAGTTGAGACTATGACTAATGTCAACCAGGGCCAGGGATTACAAAATCCTGACTATTCCAAGAGAATAATCCGTTCCTACTAAACTTGGTAGCCATCCAATTTGTAAAGTCTTCCAGTTTATCAAATCGGTAATTATAAACTGTAATGTATGTAATGTTATAGTAGAAATTATGGGTGGTTACTCTAACCATATTAATCCATATTAATCCCATAATATAATGATCCATCAATGACCTCATCAATCCCATATATGATAGCACTACATTTTTTTTATCGCCGGGGATTCCTTGGAGGGCAAGACTGCGGAAGAGAGAGGGCAAAAGTTGCTGCGCCAAGCCAGCGCCAAGGAGGCCGATGTGAAGCTACATATACCGTATAAATATCAATATGATTATAAACAGATAATGTGGATATTTATACGGAATAATGTAGAATTATAGTATATGAAGCTAGAATTTGCTTTAGCTATAGGATTAACAATTGGGATATACGGTAATATTCCGTATAATGTGGATATTAATTGGGAATAAATGGGGATATTAATTCTGGATATATATATATATGTATATATAATATGTTCAATATCATTGGGGATATTATAAGCTATATATATACACTAAGGCACTAACAGATAGAACATTATCCAGTGTTCAGGAATTGCTAGTGCTCTAGTATACATATACATGCATCATCCTCTTGTGTATATATATATAATTATATATATATGCACGCACAGTGAATATGTTGTATATATATACTGTATATAAAGGTATGCAAATTATAAATCTGATAGTTGATTCGCTTGGTGGTCTCAAAGATTTGGCTTGTTTTCGCCCAGAAATGTTCAGTGGTCAAGTTCCATTGAACAAGATCCCTAGGTAAGTTGGTTACTGGGTTAGCTAGGAATTATTTCTGATATACCCTCTGATAAACTAACATAGCTATGGAAAATCACCATTTTTAAAGGGTAAATCCACTAGAACTAGAAATGGCAATTTTCAATAGTTATGTTAAATTACCAGAGGGTATCTAGAGTTGGATGGCATTACAAACCAAATGAACTCAACTTACTACTTGGGGGCGTCCCTCACGGTGGCTGAAAAACACTCTCAGCTTTGTGTTCGTTTGCAAATATAGTACCCCAACATTTGATGGTGATCATCATCATACGTTTCCTATCGTTTCCTGTATGGGGATGGATCAAAGCCTACTATACCATATTTGGAGAGATGAATATCCATAGATTCATCATGATTCATCACTGTGATGAACAGAAGGCTACCAAGAGGCATTGACCCACAGCCAGTGGCTGGTCTCCATATCCCGCAGCTTGGTCGAGGCCAAGTTGACTGCAGCCCAACAGGCTGTTGCTGAGGCATCCCCGGAGCGAACTGAGCGAACGGAGCGATGGGGTGTATCATATCCATAGACCAATAGTCCCCAAAAAATCATGGGGAGCCAGTTGGAGCAATTGACACCAATCTTTACCATATGATTGGTGTTTACCATCCATTTGTTTTTTTTGGGTATGTAAACTTGATTTTGACTTGAAACATTGAATCATTGTGTTTGCATGGTAGTTGGAACATTACAGTGAGTCGACTGAGAAGTTGTGGCAAGAATCGTTCACTAGTTCAATGATGCATTCATACTATCATACTCATATATATATATTAACACATGGGCCATGGGAGTTTCCTAAAATGGGTGTTACCCAAGCCACCATCCAGTCATCATGGATGACCATGACGACTCGTGTAGCAAAAAACCCATGGTGACTTGGTGATCCACCACACCAGGGAGTGTCGACCGCCTGACCACAATCTGTTAAAGATAGTCAAAATCAATGAACATCACATAATTCTAAGGTATCTAAGGTTCACCATGTCAACAATCTCTTGAAACATAGTCTGACTGAGTCAAAATCACTAGAAAAAATATTCGATCCAAGTCAAAGTTGGGCAACTTTCCACCTGAAGGCTCAACAAAAGGCCGCCTCTACCTTGCAGAGCGTTGGGATCCCAGTTGTGAACAAAGGGCTCGAAGATTCAAAGGGTGACCCGGGTGGTTGGTATAGATTATTTTGATTTATTTGTTGCTATGAAGTCTCTCATGTGGGAATGCAATCCCCAGCTACCGACGCCCATGAGCCAAATCCATTCACAAACCAGATGGATTGATAGATTTGGCACCATTCAGAGAATCCATTTGGTTTGATTCTGCAGCACTGCGAAGCCATGAATCATTACATATCATTACTGTTTATCATTGCTACATATTAATGTCCATTGATAAAGCTATAAACCATTGATCAAAGATCCCAAAGTCGTCACTTCCAGCCATCTCCATGCAGAACTCATGTAAGCTGTCCCTGCAGCTCGGGCTCAAATCATCGGCAAAACCACCGGTGCAAAACGCGGCCAGAAATTAAATCGGCTTCGCCATGGCCAAACGTACCAAGAAAGTGGGCATCACCGGAAAGTATGGCACACGCGACTTGGCAGATGATTTTTGGGGATCCGAAAAGAATCATCCACAGATTGATCTTCATCGAACTTCATAAAGATGTGGTGTTCAATGATAGTAAAATGATAGCGAAATGATAGTGAAATGTTAGTGAAATGTTAGTAGAATGATGTAACATTAACATGTGACAAACAAACACGTGGTGATCTAATTGAAGGACGAACATCGGACACCTCCGGTTTGGGGCCAACGGGATGGTCGGATGATCTCAGCCAAGGATATGGTGCCTCTTTGAGGAACTCGAAGCGCAGATGATTGTGGCTGAATGACTATGGTATATATTGAACTTCATACATATATATGTATATACTGTATATATATAATGTAGTGCCTAATACTATATGCATATACACATGATAATATATATAATATGATATATATATATACATATAATATATGATATATATAATGTATCATATAAGCGATTGTATATGTATATATATATATATGCATTGAACAAAACATATATATATATACATTATAATATTGAAGCCAATGTATACATGTACCATGAGAACATGTTCGCGCATCTTCAAGTTATCATGTTTGATTTGTTTGCCATTTCGGTTCTTGCGTTCTGCATCTCTATCATTGCATTATTATGTACATATATACATATATCTTACACCCCTTGAAATGCATATGCATTCTCTTGCATATGTTATATGGTTGAATGCGTTATGAATTTGTCTCCCTGGCAGAACGATATTCTTGTCTCCGGGCAGCTACTGAATGGCTTTTCGGGACTTGCTTCAGGGCTACTTCAGGTGCTGTTTGCGGCATCTAAAATCTCGGATTTCCATCAGATCCTCAGACACAAGGTTTACAAGTAACAATTAAACTAATGTAAATGGAATCACCATCACGAAAATATTAATGATACGAATATCATAATAGATCATAGGAATAAACAGAACAGGACATGTAAAATCTCGTCTCCGGTAGGCTATCATCCCCAGTGAAAACTGACACTTCGGCAGGAAGATCATCAAGCGCTACGAGATCCAACAGCGCGCTCGTTACATGTGCTCCTTCTGCGGAAAGGCAGCGCCTTCTGCGGGCTGATGCCATCCCGCAGATGGTTACCGTCCCCGAAATGTGAGACCCGTCACCATTTTTTTCGGACTATGGAAGACGAGTTTCCGCCTGAAATTCACTATTCTCAGGGTCTGTTGCCGTCAAACTATGTCAAACTCTTGGGGGGATGGTAGTTGCCGTCAATCTGAATTTTCTCCAGGGACCTCACTGGCCCAGCAAGCCCCATTAATGCTGCAGTGATATAGTTTATTATACATATAATATAAATAATTATATATATATAATTATATATATATACGTACATGTGTATGTGTGTATATATATAATATGTATATGTGTTTTTAGATAGTGTTGATTATATATACATACTTTCATTTTGTTCCGCCGCCGCCATTTAAGCGGAAATCCATTGAATCCTCGAAAACTAATGGAGCAACATGTTTCTTTCTTTAGTTTGTTTTTGGGTACTCCTTGCATAGTTATCCCTGAGATCATGGAGTGGAGTTAGCCATACTTTAAACTTTAGATCAATCTTGGCTGGTTGGTGGTTTGGAACATTTGGATTATTATTCCCATCATATTGGGAATAGTAACCTCAACTGACTTTCATATTTTTCAGAGGGCTAGGTCAACCACCAACCAGTTGGTGTGTGATTGGGAGCCACTGCATCCCAATGTATCCCAATGTCATAATTCATAAAGAAATCCCAAATCACCCAGCATTCGGATGATCACGGCCTGGCGATCTGACAGGAGAACGTGAAGCGTGTGGCCGGTGGCATTTGGAAGTGCAAGGGCAAGACCTGCAACAAGACCCGTGGATGGGCGGCCTGGATGACCCACCCGGTGATTTAATAGGTAAATCATCATACTGTAAATCATCTATTTTCATGGGCCACTTTCAAAGCTAGATAGAGGGTTTAGTTCAGCCACAGCCTTGTAGTCAGGGTGAAAACAGTGTGTTTGATCATGTTCAAGTCAGGACTCCAGTGTATGCACTTGCACTAATCCAACACTCTACCACAAGGGTCCAGGAGGTATTCCCCGGTTCACGCAGGTGTTCACATCTTAAATAGCGATTGTAGTTCTGGATGTTCATCCCTCAATGCGCGTATGTTATTCGTTCTCTACCCTCTGGTAATCAAACATGGTAATGGAAAGTCCCACATGTTTCCCCTGAACACCTCGATTTGTGGGGAATTTCCCAGCTTGCCATGTTTGATGACACCGGAGGGTATATCCCTACTATATATCCGTGATATCCCCGTTATCTCCCATTAAATCATCTTTGTTGCTTAAATCACCATTGTTCTTGGTTAAATCACCATTGTTGTTTGTTAAATCACATGTTTTAATTGCTTAAATCACCTTTTTGGTTGCTTCAATCACCATTAAATCACCATTAAATCACCATTAAATCACCATTAAATCACCATTAAATCACCATTAAACCCTCTGGTGAGGATCATGGCTGGTGGCTGCTGGACCCTGAGCACGGGCCCAGCCGCCACGGTGCGCGCCACCATCGCGCGCCTCAGGAAGCAGCAGCAAGGTGCGGGGGTGCCGGGACTTGGGAGAAGTTCTTGGCAGTTGAAGTCTCAGATTATAGTAATAGCTATATATATATATGTATGTGTACATATATATATATGAGGTTTCCATAAATGGGGATATCCCAAAATGGATGGGATAACAAAATGGATTGGTGAACCAACATGTCCACCTTGTTGACAACACACACAATTGTTTCCATAGTCATGGGGGTACCCCAAGTTATGGATGCTGAAAAAAATGGACAATCCTTCTAAAGTGGATGATTTGGGGGTAGCCCTATTTTAGGACACTTCCATATGTTATGATAATACGTGGTTCTTACCTTGATACTGGGTTGATAACTGCGATGATACACTGGGATAGACATGTTATGATCAATGGATTATAGCACCTGGTTGAATGGGGATTAAATGGGGATTATAAGCCATAGATCGATGGTTGGTCATGATCGGTTACACTGATTATGGCACCTGGCTTTTGCTGGCGATTATCACCATTTATAAGCCATAGATACCATAGGGAAACCGTTTTCAAGCAACCAGTATACCCTCTGGTAATGACTAACATAGCTATTGAAAATCCACCATTTTGTAGCTGGGAAAATCCACTATTTCTATGGTCATTTTCAATAGCTATGTTAGTCATTACCAGAGGGTAATGAAGCCCTGTGGAAATGTAGAAACTCTGTGGTTCACCCTGGCAAAGGTCAGGGCTTTTCCCCAAATCTCGGGTGAATCATAGTGAGACCTCACTGCGACGTTGGATGATGCTTTGCAGGCCTGTCCGTATCGCAAAATCAACATGTCCTATGTCAGGTTATATAATTAGGATAATATGGCCGGCAGAACAAGTCCTATGTTCCTATGACTACAACCAGTGGTAGCCGGCTTTAGAACAAGTCCTATGACTACTAATGTGGTAAACCCAACGACAGCCCCAAAATCGTCATGAATGGTAGACAGTAATCCATCCCCAGATCTGGTGCCGCAGGTGGTGTTGAAGACTAAGCGCCAGATGAGAAAACGAGCGAGACCCGATGCGAGCGGTGAAAAGAAAAGAATGGCCGTGCGCTGGATTTGCGGTGCCCTAACGTATGGATTTCCATATATATATATATATACATAATTAACTATATATATATATATATATATATGGAATACCCTTTGATAATCAAACATAGCTATTGAAAACTCCCATGTTTAATAGGTAAAGCATCTACAAACGGACCATGTTCTATAGCCATGTTAGATTACCAGAGGGTACCAACAATCACCGCGAAAATGACCACAATGATTGGACCTCCTGTCTGATGTCTTGGTGAATGTTGTGAAAATGGGGCTTAGCAGGCAAACCCCTGTGGTTTGGAACATGTCTGGTTGGTGGTTTCACATATTTTTTATTTTCGATCATATATGGGATAATCCTTCCCATTGATTAATATTTTTTCAGAGGGGTTGAAACCACCAACCAGATGTCTTTTTTCCCCATCAAAATGACCATATCGTAGTGGGAGTCAAACACCCATCGATATCAATGATCAAATTTGAGGGTTTTTGCTGGAAAAAATCCAGGGCTCAAGCACCAAGCCCCGCGGCACCGGCACAAAATTCTACACCATGGCCAAGCGCACCAAGAAGGTGGCTGTTTTGTTTCTGGATGGACCTAGGTTGGACAGCTTTCATCAATGGATTACGTACATATATTACATAATATGAATGCATCATATATAAATGAATATAATATATATAATATATCGTATACATATAAATAAATAAATATATATATATATATATATATCGTGTATATATATATATATGCACAACTTATATCCTGATATCCTCAGAAGTTTCTTTTAGTCCATCTTGGTTGAACCATGCTTTAAAGTGATGGAACACGATGGAAACTGAAACCAAACATAGATCAAAATCGTGAAGATCTGAGAACCATGGGTGGCAGACATCAAAACTTGGTGAAAGGCAACGTCCCATCATTTATCTTCATGAAACTTGGGGTGATTTGAGTCTGTTTTGGCGCCTTAAATATCTAAAAAATCCCCATAAGATCGGTCCATGGCCATCATAAATCGGTGACCTGAAATCTCTATGTGCGGTCCTGCGGTGAGTTGAGTTCTAAAGTTTTACCCATAGGATCCATGGTGCTGCTATATATGGTCACATTTACCATAAATATACCCCAAATGTTAGCATATATACCATACATGGATCCTATGGGTTATAATGCGGTGATTTTCCAATAAGACCTACCATTTGGGGATATTTGGGGAGGATTTAGACAACCCATTCGAAACATTTGGATGATGACGTGGGGGCTGCAGATAGCAGGTTGGCATCACTGGAAAGTACGGCACCCGCTACGGCGCTTCACTGAGGCCAGGGAGACAGGGAGCCAGGGACCGGATCTGTCAGTAAAAGCCATAGAGATCCTCAATTTTGCCATGGAAAATGGCCCATTTATAGATGGTTTACCTATTAAAAATGGTGATTTTCCATGGCTATGTTAAATAACAAGATGCTATCTTTATTCATTTTATATATTTCAATGGGTTGTATAAACCATCTAATTATGGGTTGATGATTAATTAATTGCTTTATGAACATTAAAAAAACATCTATCGTAACTTTTGAACATGTTAGCAGAACTAGAGATTTCGCCTGGCATGTTCTGGAGTAAAGCTGAAGCAAGCATCTCTTTCAATGCGAATTCGCAATCAATTGGGAATCGTATTCAATCAAACTAAGCTGCATACACACACATACAGAATCACACATATATACATATATATATACATCATATATATATATATATTTATAATAATTTACCATATATGTACTGTATATTATATTATATTATATATTATATTATATATTTTATTTTATATTATATTATATATTATATTATTTATATATATTATATTATATTATATTATATTATATTATATATTATATTATATATTATATTATGTTATATATTATATTATATATTTTATTTTATATTATATTATATATTATATTATTTATATATATTATATTTTATTATATTATATTATATTATATTATATATTATATTATATATTATATTATGTTATATATTATATTATATATTTTATTTTATATTATATTATATATTATATTATATATATAATATATTATATTATATTATATTATATTATATATTTTATTATATTATATTATATGTTATTATATTATTTTATATTATATTATATGTATTGGATTCGATGTATTATATATACCTGGACTCCTCGATAGTACCGATGAACCTATTCCTCGCTGAACAACGGCATGACTCTGCAGCTAAACATCCATGAGACCGAGATATCTCATGAATTAGTTGAGATACATCCATGACTTGTGTAGTGTATTCTTAGAAATGTTGGTGTTTTCAATTCGGACATTTGATAGACATGATTAGGGGGGGCTTGCCGAGTTCAGACATTTTTGATGCGAAATCCTCGCTGTGTCCCCAAGGCTTACCTGCCATACGAGCTTCTGTATATTCCAGCCTTGGTTTGTGAATGACTACAATTAATCATCTATAATCCTTTTCCTATAGTCAAAGAATATCTTAAACACACCATACATATATATATATATATTTATATATATGTGTCCATATATAGTAAACCATGATGTAGTATAGACAGTATAGGTGATTTACACTTATTTTGACCATAGAATGGGCGTCTTTGGCCGTGACATCGTGAAGCACTATGCCACAGGAAGATCATCAAGCGCTACGATATCCAGCAGCGCGCCCGCTACATGTGCTCCTTCTGCGGCAAGGACCATGCTGCGGCAAGGAACTTGGGATTGGCCAAGGCAGAATCTGACAGAAGTCGGATCAGATGTGAATGGTTCCTCCTGGATACATGGTCCTTTCTGTTGCTTGTGTGAATATCAGATCGTCGCTGTGGTTATTGCTAAATAGTACGAGTACAGTTCCCGTTCATGTTGGGATCTGACAGGAGAACGTGAAGCGTGTGGCCGGTGGCATTTGGAAGTGCAAGGGCAAGACCTGTGGAAAGACTGAAGGGTGGCAGGGTGCTAGACCTACATAGTCTTGCAGATAGTGCCAGAAGCCAGGGTAGCTGCTTCAGTTTCTGACGAAGCAGCGGTGCCAGTAGCCCCTCCAAGTACCCATAGACATGGATAAAAGTCCCAAAATCATGGGTGCATTTAAATTTACCATACCTATTTTTGGTGGTACTCGTATTTGGATTCCATGAATCGAGTGTCCTACAGCACTCACTCTGGGCAAGGTGGCCCTTCCGCCATCCGCCTATGACTGGCACCCGCAGTTTTCACGCTAAAATATTGTACTTGGTGGTTCAGTTCCACTAAAAAGTTGTTATATAACCATTGTTATATAACCATTGTTATATCATGAGTTATATCATGTGTATTCATGTGTTATATAATATCCCCCCCTTTAACCCTGGAATATTTGAGGGGGGTAAGGCAAGAAATTCTGGGAAATATTTCACCCGACCACGTGAAATATCCACCCCCCCACGTGTTTTTTTGGCTTCCAAAAGAGATTGGGGGGGGTCCTCCGGATGTCAGACTTTAGCCCTTGTCTTTGAAGATTGTCAGAAACGGACGGAATCCTACTGCTGCAACGGAATTTCTGGGGGGGCTTCTAGAGTCCTAGAGCTGTCAAATACCATGGTTTTGCACCTCCCCCCTCAAAAATTTCTCAAGCAAAGCTTGGGGAGAGAAAAACATGGAAATCTGCGCTTCAGCTGGTTTGCACGCACCTGACCACATCCACCGGTGCCCGCGGATGCATAATTGACAGCGCTACATGATTTTCCATTGCCTTATTCTACTGTATATAAACCAGATTTTTTTAGCTGAAATATTTCTGGGGAGCGGTGGGGTAACCCCCCCAAAAGCCTGGTGGATTTTTTGGTGGCTCCAGGATCATGGCTGGTGGCTGCTGGACCCTGAGCACGGGCCCAGCCGCCACGGTGCGCGCCACCATCGCGCGCCTCAGGAAGCAGCAGCAAGGCAAAAGTGCCGGGACTTGGGAGAAGTTCTTGGCAGTTGAAGCCTCAGATTATAGTAATAGCTATATATATATATGAGGGTTTCCATAAATGGGGATATCCCAAAATGGATAGTTTATAATTCGAAAATCCAACAGTTATGGGTATGAGTCAAAACCCTTGTACCCTAGTGAACCCTAAAATAGCTGGGATTTATGGATGTTCATCTCCCAAAAAATGTATTTATAGTTATAGGTATTGATACATCCCCATATATAGCACCCCTGTAGCACCCCCGAAAAAAGATAGAGCGATCACAAGTTGGACACCAGGAAATGATGGGGGGAAAACATCATCTATACCTTCTTGGAAATACTGTTCCATCTTTTTTGTGGGTTACCCTCTGGTAATTTAACATAGCTATAGAAAATCACCATGTTTAATAGGTAAACAATCTATAAATGGGCCATTTTCCATAGCTATGTTAGTTTACCAGAGGGTATTGCAATGGGAATTCATGATATATTTGGGATATCATGAATTCCCATGTTTGGGAAAGTGAGGTATATACTAGTATATATGAACATGGTAATTCTAATACACCCAATGATGATTAGCCAATGATTTTGAGACAAAGCCATATGATTCTTGGGATTTGGAAAAAACTGTTCATGCATGGTATATCTTCCTAGAATCTCCAGTTATGGGCTGGAATTTATAGATCTTCATCCCCAGTGGAGCCGATGGTAGGTATTGACCGTTGAAGAACACCCCGGTTTGCTTGGGTATACTGTGGCAACTGCAAAATGAGTTTGCTCAATGTTTGCTCCTTATGTTTTTTTGGACAGGTAGTACCTATAGATGTTGCTGGATGTTACTGGATGCTACTGGATGTTATTGGTGTGGTATGTTTGCTCATCGCTTTTGGACACAGCAACGAGTCTTCTTTTGGATGACTCATCATACACAACTAGATGATGTAGACTCATACAGTCTCCATGGTGAAACATGTAGATAGCAAATGATTGGAAGACGGGAACTTTGAATGCTGAAGATAAAGCTACTTTATCCAGTTTCAAACACGTCGTGGAAAACCGAAGAGCCACTGTGAATCAATCTCTACTTGAAGGTATTTTCTTACTTTCTGGTGAAAGTAGTCCCTTCTAGGGCCACCAGTTGACTCTGCCCTGCCCATCAGGTGGCGTTGAGGACTGAGAAGCGGAGGCTTACGACGCCATGACGCTTTTCGTAGATGCCATGAGTGCTTGGTGCAGAAAAGGATGTGGACGACGGGATAGGATGGGATAGGTGTCCCAGGGCGGTGTCCCACATCAAAGATGAGGGTTTCTGGGGCTGTAGCAACTACCCTCCAAAAAAAACCCGATTTTCCTCACATGCCATTGGACACTGACTTTCTGAGGGATTGTCAGATCATTTTAGAATCAAATCATCCTATTTTGTTTCAAAGATAATTTCTCGATTAATTCGCATGGCAGACAGTTGTCTCCGTTGTTTCACTGGTTTTTTGTTGCCGTTGCTGGAAGGTTCCAGGTTTGCCAACTGCCCATAACTGCGGCCTCCAAGTCTTCCAAGCCATGGCCAAGCGAACCAAGAAGGTGGGCATTACCGGCAAGTACGGCACCCGCTACGGTGCATCCCTCAGGACGGGAAGCGAGTCGAAGCGAGTCGGAGCGTAGAAATAAGGTCTATAAGGTCTATAGCGTGTGTATGAATGTGTGTATATATCACAGTATATATATATAAATATATATTTTTTTAAGACCTATGTGATTGAAACATATAATCGACATATGTCATGCATGAATGAAATATATGGCTATGATGTTCGTCGTCCTGTTCGCTACGTCACAGCCATTTGTACCTCAAAAGATTTTGGTACCTTGCGAACAGCAAGAATGGCGTCAAGCAACACCTCTCCAAGTCTTTCAGCCAGCCAGGGCCCGCACACCGGCAGCGTGCCCTTGCCAAAGAAACCCGCCCCAGTCCCTGAGTTTGAGGAGGAGCCAGAGCCAGATGTGCCGGATCCATCCGCAGATGATCGGTTTGGTGACTCCCAGGTGGATGAGATGAAACCCATCCGAAGGTCTTTCCACTCCTGGACAGATCCCAAGGAAGAACCTGAGATCTTCCAACCCAACCACTTTACCCATGACCTCTACACAGGCTATCTGGAGACGTTCATGAGAGAAGTGGAGGACAACCAGCAACTCTTCAAAGCAGTCGTGAAGCAAAGGCGTCAGGACTGTGGATTTCAGGAACCTTCAAGATCTTCAAGCCGCAGTCGCTTCTGGAACAGGGTAGGCTTCACTCGTTGAGGCTTGGTTTGGTGATGACACGGATGACACGACCCCCATTCTTTCTGCACTTTTGTGCCACCGGCTTTTTCCGCGGCATTTTCCGCGAATCCAGGATGGAAAGTCGATGGATTTGCTGCCGAAGCTGATTTTTTGGGAATCACAGATGACTCCTTCATATTCCTTCAAATTTGCAGATGAAGAGAAGGATTCTTCTGCACTTTGCACATCTTTTGCACATCTTCGCACCACCGCACAGTGTGGCTGTTCCACCGCACATCGCATTTTCCACAGCATGTCCCGCAGCAAGTGCAGCGGATTGGCTGTCAGGAAGCAGATGGCGAAAACGCCGCCGCTTTTTGCGCAGCAAGTCTAGCTCCGTTGGGGATTGGCTGGAAGCGGATGGCAGAAACGCCGCCGCCTTTTGCGTTGCAAATCTACGGCTTTGCGATCAGCGGCCAAAAGATGTGTTGCGGCGAGGCTCAAACTCCACGCAGCAACGCTGCCACGGCACCCCTGAGAATCTAGGAACCAGCCGCAGGAGAATGTTCATTTTGAAGCATTTTGAATTGCAAAGGACTCTCAAATCTCGGTTTCTGCTGAGTTTCTTTGTTGATCTCTCCCTGTAACTTCAGTGTAGGAAGATCATCAAGCGCTACGAGATCCAGCAGCGCGCCCGCTACATGTGCTCCTTCTGCGGCAAGGACCGTGCTGCTGTGGAACTTGGGGTTGGCCAATTTCAATGTGGCGGAATCTGACAGAAGTCGGATCAGATGTGAATAATTCCTCCTGGATACATGGTCCTTTCTGTTGCTTGTGTGAGTATCCGATCGTCGCTGTGGTTATTGCTAAATAGTACGAGTACAGTTCCCGGTCATGTCGGGATCTGACAGGAGAACGTGAAGCGTGTGGCCGGTGGCATTTGGAAGTGCAAGGGCAAGACCTGTGGAAAGACTGAAGGGTGGAGGGGGAGGGCCACTGCTTCAACCATTTTGATTATTAACAGTATGAAAGAAGACCATTTTATGTTCATCATCAATGTACATACACCTAATTACTGTACGGTAATGAAATCATCTTATGTATATTATATAATATATCACAATCAAATTGATATAGAATCGATATCATACTATCTATATCATCTATGTCAATCAATCTATATAAATCAATTTATGCTTCTTCAAAGATGTACCAAAATTGCAGTGTCTCCTGAACTTTGATTTAGGGCCCTCGACTACTTGTTGTCTCCTCTGGTGGCTACATGTCAAAAATGTTCACATCAACATAATCAAAGAATCAATGACAATTTCGGTGACAATCATCACACTCATTTTAGTGACAAGATTATGAACAATTAACGTTATCAAAATGACAATCAAGATGTTCAGATTGACACTTTTCAAGTGATCTCAGACAATTTTCTGTCTGCATTACTCTTGGGTACAGTAATCCAACAAGGCAATTTAACAATTCTTATCTGGTTCGAGATTTTCCGTGTCAATGGCCTGCCATGTTTGATGACACCGCAGTTTTTGGGGATGGCAAATATAGTTATCAAGAATTATCACATAGTCAAATAACACATGAAATACTGCTAGCTTACCCCTAAAAGATAGAAGTTCATCAAACAAATCCCATTTGACACATTGATCTATATTACGTAAGTATACTGTGGATGGCAGAAATCCTGCAGCTTGGATGGTTGAAACCCTAAAAAGAATGGTATAAACCATCTATCAACTGGTGCAGAATTTCTTCTAGCCACAGTATGTATTTAAAAAATGTATAGTGATCTTGTCAAGTCTTTTTCTATCCGTTTTTTTTAAACACATCGGGGCGCCGGCGTCAGGATCATGGCTGGTGGCTGCTGGACCCTGAGCACGGGCCCAGCCGCCACGGTGCGCGCCACCATCGCGCGCCTCAGGAAGCAGCAGCAAGGTGCGGGGTGGACACCCGGGTGAACTTTTGATAGTATATAGTAGGATGTATAATATATATATATATATGTATGAATATATATGTATATATATATATATATCATTATATATATATATATCATTATATATATATATCTTATATAATTGATTTGTATTGGTATATCATAATAACATATACATATATATGCATGATTACATTTATATATTATATATATAATATTCCAAGGATATAGGGTGATATCTGATAGCCTACATAGAATATCTTTGAAGATCTCTCTATATATATATATAGGAAGGATATAGGCTAAAGGATACAAGATGTCCAAATTTAATTTGTAGGATAGGATGAAATATAGTCATTGTAGGATAGTTTAAACCAATCCAAGTTGATCTTGGATTTGGTCAACGTGATTTGTTGATTTTCCCATGGGCAGACCATCTCAAGCAAATAAATATCCGCAGATGTGACAAGGCCCATACTGCCCATCATTAGGCACAACAGTCAAAGGATTTACACTCGGGTAATTTAACATAGCTATTGAAAATTACCATTTATAGTGGATTTACCCATTGAAAATGGTGATTTTCCATAGCTATGCTAGTTTACCAGAGGGTACCAAACAAAATATCATTGGAATCTCTTGAAAATATGGTGGGATGATATGCCTCACCAACAACATCCAACTTGCTTGGTTGGCCCGCCCCTCTTATGTTTGTTGGTTTATAACCGCCGTTAGAATATCTAGTTGGATATATCGAACCATAACCCAATCATTATCCTACCTGAGCTGATCTTGATACGTGCAGCTTTGTGATTTCAGTCGGAATCTTGATTTCTGGATGATATTCGCATGTGTTTCATATTGACTTCTATTCAAACGGTGAAATTCAATACATGTCCTTGTTTGATCCTTGTTTGACAATGTAGGATTTTTCAAGGGGTTTTCCGAGGCCCCTCCGGTCTGAAGTCATTTCTCCATCAGAGTAACATGACATCCCCGTCCCACAATAATGGTTTTGGATTGGTTGTGTTCGTCGACATTTTCTGTTGGAAGTGATATGTTTATTGAATTGCTTGAGTTGCTTGTTGAATTCAGAGGCACATACCCTCGGGTGATTTAACATAGCCATGGAACACCCATACAACTACGTACTGTTTTTTTCCTATTGTTTCCATGGCAATTTTCAATTGCAAACTGTTTGATCAGCGGTGAACATCTAATTTTCGTCAGGTGGCGTCGATGACTGAGCGCTGCAAGCGCTGAATGCTTCGAGAGCAATGGCAGTTGGCAAAATGTACTGCTGATGACCGGGGGATACAATTGAGCCCTTTACCAGTTATAGATAGGGTTATGGTCACCGACAGGATTATGGAAAAAAATAAAACGTTCAACTTAGACAGGCGGCGCCTGCGTCCGATTTTTCCATAATTGGATTTTTCCCCATAAGGGTTCAAAATATCCCGGAAGTGATCCGAACCTTTTTTTTTCCATAATTCTTGGAGGTGGCCATTATTTCCATAATTGATTTTTCCTGTGAAATCAGGGGGCTAGGGCAGATTGACCGGTTTTTCCATATTTTTTTTCCATAATTAATGTTTGGGGCTCCACCTGTTGGACATGTCATGGATCCACAATTCAAACCCGTTTTTTTTGGGGGTTATGGAAATATGTATGCAAATGCAAGTATGTAGTATCAACCCAATTGGTGGCTTGGAAAAACGAATTTTCCAGATATTATGTATATCAATGGCAGGCTTTAGGGGCATATACCAGATCTTTAGACACATATTTTCTATAATTCAATATTCCCCCTTAAAATGCATTCAAATTGCGAACATCACATGATATTATGTATATCAATGGAAGACTTAGGGGCATATACCAGATCTTTAGACACATATTTTCTATAATTCAATATTCCCCCTTAAAATGCATTCAAATTGCGAATCGATGGACATACAGTCACCGACAGAATCATGGAAAAAAATAATTATGGAAACACTAATTATGGAAAAAAAAGGTTCGTAACTTTTCTATCATAGACAGGCGGCGCCTGTAAATTGAAACGTTTTTTTTTTTTCGGGATGCATGTTTTTTGGACCTGGGCACCCTTTTTTTGGACCTGTACATGTTTTTTGGACCTAACCAGAATTTTTTTTGGACCTAGGGTCACAAAAAATGTGGGGACTTGCCTATGTGTTTTCTGGACCCTGTGGGAATATTTTTTGTGGACCTGCATGAATTTGTTCTGGACCCACGGAAATTTTTTTCGACAGCCAAATTAATTGTTTCTGAGCTCGGTCTCTGTTTTTTGGACCCGTGCACCTGCTTCGTGGACCTTGCCTCCATAGGGTGGGGGGCACAGGTGGGGGGGACTTTAGGAGGCCACGGTGGAACCAGATATAAAACCAAATGAATGCAGGGAATATTGACGCAACATGAATGCAGCGCAGGAAGTTGTTGAGGGGCACAGGGGAGGAAGCTTAGAGATTAAAACAAAAATGAACGGAAGAAGTCATGGGGAGGCGACGGGGGATTAGATATTGAAACTTAATGAATGCAAGAAGTTGAGGAAGTTTGATGAGAGGCACAGGGGGGGAAGGTAGATATTGAAACCAGGTGAGCGCAAGAAGTTGGGATGAGGCTGAAAATCAAATTCAAAACAAGCTTGGAATCGAATTTAAAGAAGAATTAAATTCGAATTTAATTCCAACGTGTCTGTTCTTCATTTGACCTTTAAGAAGGAATTAAATTCAAATTTAAATCTTGTCATGGACTGCGTTGTCTGGAACGTGCCGCGGACTTCTTTTTGGCCAGCCAAAGGGTTCCAAAGCGCCAAAAGCAGATCGATTTTTTTTTCCGTGCCTGCAAAGCGAGCCAAGTGATTGTTGAAACCGATGCAAGTCTCTCTTACTGGATCCATCCGGTGCAGCCTACAAAAATTTACATACGAACTTACGCGGGGGTCCGCTTTTCTTGCCGAACTCGGGCTCTCGAACGGGAATTTCGGACCCCCGATAATGCACATTGACAGCACAGAAACTTTTCTTGCACAGACATTTCACCCATATACTTTTCACCCCGAGACTCTTCTTGCACATACTTTTCAACCATATACTTTTCACCCAGAGACTCTTCACCCAGAAACTCTTCTTGCACATACTTTTCACCCATATACTTTTCACTCAGAGACTCTTCACCCAGAAAACCTTCTTGCACATACTTTTCACCCATATACTTTTCAACCAGAGGCTCTTCTTGCACATACTTTTCATCAATATACTTTTCATCCAGAGACTCTTTACCCAGAAACTCTTCTTGCACATACTTTTCACCAATATATTTTCACCCCTTCACCCAGAAACTCTTCTTGCACAAACATTTCAGGGGTATACTTTTCACCCACAGACTCTTCACCCAGAAACTCTTCTTGCACAGACATTTCACCCGTATACTCTTCACCCAGAGACTCTTCACCCAGAAACTCTTCTCGCACAGACATTTCACCCATATACTTTTCACCCAGAGACTCTTCATCCAGAAATTTTCTTGCACATACTTTTCACCAACATATTCACCCCGCTTCGCGTGGGGTGGCCGCCCACACCGCAGGTTTATTTCGGTCCGTGAGAGGGGCTAAGGGTGGTTTTCCCCCGTGGGGGCTCTTCAAGCTAAGAAGTTTCAATAAGAAATCCTTCCAAAACATTGTTTTTGACAGTGTTTTTCCAATGTTTCCAGTCAAACAGACGGTAATTTACACGTTTTTTGCCATAAAGGCAGAAAATCCTTCCAAAACAGTGCTTTGGACAGTGTTTTTGTAATGTTTCCAGTCAAGCATACGGTAATTTACACGTTTTTTGCTATAACGTCAGTCCAAAACACTTGTTTTTGCAGTGTTTTCAATGCTCTGGCATCCAAAAACCCTGCAAAATCTTGCTATGTACAATGTTTTTTTCATTTTTGGCCGTTTTTCCATTGCCGGAAAGCTACCAAAATGACCCAAAATTCCATTTCAATACCCTCTTGCGCTCAGACACCCAAAAATCCTCGAAAAATGTCGAAAACACCACCGTATTCTGGTCTCGGTGCGAAACCGTTTTTGGGGTCTGGTCTCGGTGCGAAACCGTTTTTGCCCCCCCCCCCAGCTAAAGCTGATATAGCGACTGCTATATTAACAAATGTCATTGAGCATTTAGTGTTGCTGTTGCCCCCCAATAAGCACGCCTTCACCGCCAAAGCGGTGTGGGCGGATTTTCACCCATAGACTCTTCACCCAGAAACTCTTCTTGCACAGACATTTCACCCATATACTTTTTACCCAGGGACTCTTCACCCAGAAACTCTTCTTGTACAGACTTTTTACCCAGAGACTCTTCTTGCACTAAATTTTAACCCACATATTTTCACCCATAGACTCTTCACCAAGAAACTCTTCTTGCACATACTCTTCACCCTTATACATTTCACCCTTATACATTTCACCCATATACTTTCCACCCCGAGACTCTTCTTGCACATACTATTCAACCATATACTTTTCACCCAGAGACTCTTCACCCAGAAACTCTTCTTGCACATACTTTTCACCCATATACTTTTCACCCAGAGACTCTTCACCCAGAAAACCTTCTTGCACATACTTTTCACCCAGAGATTCTTTTCAACCAGAGGCTCTTCTTGCACATACTTTTCACCAATTGACTTTTCATCCAGAGACTCTTCACCCAGAACCTCTTCTTGCAGATACTTTTCACCCATATACTTTTCACCCAGAGACTCTTCACCCAGAAAGCCTCTAACTAGCTGGCCCATCTATCTGTCCATTGACTGATACCCACCGTCACTGTTTTGCCGCCTGGTACATTACCCTGCAAAACCATACTTACAGCTAGGTAACTTACATTAAAGAACTCCTGCCGGGGTCTCACCATTCCCAACTCCCTAGACAGATAGGTAGATAGATAGATAGATAGATAAGAGATAGCTAGATAGCTAGATAGCTAGATAGATAGGTAACTTACATTAAAGAACTCCTGCCGGGGTCTCACCATTCCCAGCTCCCTGTAAAGAGCCTTAGACAGATAGATAGATAGATAGATAGCTAGATAGCTAGATAGCTAGATAGCTAGATAGCTAGATAGATAGGTAACTTACATTAAAGAACTCCTACCGGGGCCTCACCATTCCCAGCTCCCTAGACAGATAGGTAGATAGATGATAGATAGATAAAAGATAGCTAGATAGCTAGATAGCTAGATAGATTGGTAACTTACATTAAAGAATTCCTGCCGGGATCTCACCATTCCCAACTCCCTGTAAAGAGTCTTAGACAGATAGATAGACAGACAGACAGATAGATAGATAGATTCCCAAAATGCGGACTGCCGGATCTCGTCCCGCGGGGGTCCGCAAATTCGACCCCACCCACCGCCAAAATCTCAAAAAGCGGACCCCCGTACATAGGTGCACCAACCTGCCCCCGACACCTTCAAAAGTAGTCGCAGTGAGAGTGCTGTGCTTGATCTTCTTCTCACGAAGCCATCTTTGCGCACCCTTACGCAACGTCTCTGCCTCCAAAAAGGCCTCCATCGCCACATGCGCCCATGGCTTCCGTTTCCGACCACGGCGAGCTTCTTGGTCCGACATCTCTCAGCAACAAATATCACCAGAACACAGCTCATCCGGAATCCAAGTTGCCAACCATGCTACACCAATCCCATTCTACTAATCCTCATTTCCCGCATGGGTCCCTCAAAGGAATTAGATCTAACTCGAAACCAGGAACGTATATTCTTTTGGGATCTTTTAGGGGAGTACGGGGTACTTATGGGATGAAAAACCTCCGGTTCTCAACCAATATAGAAAAAGAATGAAGGGTCAGGCACAAGAACACAGCAAAGCCACAGAATTAAATTCAAATTAAATTCCTTTAGTACGTGGCCAACAGTGGGTAGCCAGAGAGGGGGAATTAAATTCAGATTTAATTCCAATTGAATTTGATTTCCAGCCTTATTTCAAGAAGTTGTTGAGAGACAAGGGGGGAAGCTTAGACATTGAAACCAAGTTGAGATGCATGCAAAAAATTGTTAAGAGGCCAGAGGTGAAGTCTTGAGACCAAGCGAATGAATGCAGGAAATTGGTGAGAGGCACAAGGGGTGGGAAGTTTAGATATTGAAGCCAGGTGAATGTTTCCAAGTGGGGCACAGAGGCGTGAAGAGTAGAAATTGAGAAGAAGAGGGCAGAATGG